TTTTCTGACAGCAGTAGGACCAAAATCTACAGTGTTTGCTCCTGTGACCTTGAGACAGTTTATTTTCTCACACTGTGACCTTCATCTTTGGTACATGTAACTTATTTCTATGCAATAGTAGAGTTCTGTTGGAAAAATCTGCTGTTACAATAATAAAGGTATTTGCCAACTTTGCACATTTCAGATTCCTGCCATGGCGGTGATCTCACTAAGCCAGAATAATGTATTCTGTCTGGAGATTAAAATTAGTGTTTCTCAGACTCTGCAAGCATGACCCAGTAAGGAATGACTCAGTTCCTTTGGGAAGAGGAGCAAATCTGTGCCACAGCTCTGTTCTTGCTGCCCCACTGTGCATCCCCACACTGCTGCTATTTCAGAGGTACCTCAGGGCTGCTGCTCTTTCACAGCCTGTTCCTGGAGCCATGGCAGGGATCTCTAGGAGAGCACATCTCCCTTCCTGCACCACTGTAGAGATCCCAGACCTGAAGCTTTTCTGAGGAGAGGACCAGCATGTTCTCCATGAAAGCTCCTCAGCATCGCAGTTTCTTGCCCACTTGATCTGATGTAGCTTCACATTTGCTCAAGTTTTGCTCCTGCTGCTTAGTCTGTGTTTGAGTGAACACATCAGGAGAGGAGAAATCTGTGGGATGGGTTCCTGGTGGAATATGTTCTTGTGAGCTTGTCAGAGCCATTCTGAAGGGATTCTGCTGGTCTGCTAATTTGTGCTGGTTTGTGAGTGTAAAGCTGGTGTGCTTTGCTGATGGCAGCTGTATCAGGTGTCTGAAATGATTTTCTGAGATGGGTTAGAAAAGGAAAAAGGGTAGGTATTTGCAAACTGACTTTGTGATTGTCCTTGAGGTCCTTCCGTTCTCCTATTTTCTGTAGACTAACAGGAAAATCTCTAGTAAGGTTTAAGTACTTGGTGACATAATGAACCTTAGCTGTTGCCCTTGCTTGGGGCAAATCCCTTCACTTCCATTTAGTTTCCTTGTCTATGAATGGGGATAATACTGTTGTTTATGTGGATTCTCCTAAAGCTAGTGGGTATGGAGGAATATGACCTTCCACAGCTTGAGTCAGCAATATGGGAATTCTTTGTTTTATTGTTAGTTTGCACTGGATAGGGGTAGAATTCTTGGTTTAGAGCAAAAACAGATGCTACAGTTATAACAGAGCGGTGTTTCTGTCCTGGAGAGTGTACACTTTTGAGCTTGCTGAGGAATATTACTTGTATATTGCTATATAACATTTTGTCACTGAACTGAAATTTATCTTCCTCTGTACACTGCTCTGTCCTTTCACTGGGCTGCATGTATGTGTTTCTGTGTTTTATACTGTTTAGTATTGGGTTGATCCTGGCTTTTGGTTTTTACATTCATGGTATCATCTATTTTCATTTCTCATTTGAGAGAAAAATTGTTTCTGGCGGTGCTTCTGCCTCTACTTGTTTTTCTTTCTGCTGTTTTCTTTCAGTCTGTAAAAACTGAATGAAACTCCAGACAAAAATCTGTTTTCAGATGAAAGTATTAGGAAGAATAAATAAGAGATTTACCATAACTGCCATTCACAAGCTGTGTCATCTGAATGTGTGCTCTTAGTGTAGGTAACTGTGTCCCATGCTCAGGTCCCACTGGCACAGAACTAATAGGAGGCCATTGAGCTGGTTTTCTCAAGGTGCAACAGCAAAGGGCACAGTGGCTACAGAGGAAAGGCACTGGAATGAAAGGAAACAAATCCAACCAGGTCAGAGGTGTCTGGTTCCTGGTGTCTTCTGTCTTCTTCCCTAGGGGTACCAAGTAGTTGGTGTGCAATAGTTGAAGCTGCATTGCCGTTCAGGCAGACAGTGGTGGGTTCCTGCACGTAGGTTGTGAGCCACAGGTCTAACTGCCCTGTGCCCCAGAGGGATCTGCTGACTCAAGAAAGATCTCTGCTGTACTTGCTGGCCTGTAGAACCTCCTGCAGACTTGAGGACAGTAGAAAACACTGGGAACATTGCAACACTGGGAACACTGCATGAGGAAAGTTTCCTCTGTAGGCAGGAAAGCAATTCTAGGTACTTTAGCTTACTTAGGCCTGAGGGATTTGATCTCAACTCTCATTGGGAGCCTTGCACTGGTTGTTTACTTCCTTATGCCAATAAGCAAAGCCAGTGGGAGCCATGGCTAATGCCACCATGTGCCTTCTCTGGGATCTGTGTCCCCTGCCTCAGCCAGGAGGCTGACAGCAGAGCCCAGCAGCTTGCCTGTCAGCCTTGCACCTGCTGCTCCATATTAAACACAGCAGTGATGGCTCCTGTCAGCGTGGTGTGATGAGGGCAATCCTGGCATGCCCTGAGGGCTCATCAGCCATTTCTTCTGGCTTCCAGGTCTGCAGTGCTGAGCTGAACCTCTCCCAGGCCTGTGGCACACAAGAGCACAGAGAGGAAAACAGATCCTTCCCCTCTGCCTCCCCCAGCCTGGCATTTCTCAAGAGAGAGTAGCAAGAGGGAGGGAATAGGAAGAGGTTACACAACAGCTTGCTGAAACCAATTGCTAAGATCTGACATGACACATCTGAGGGCCTTGTTAAGTCGTTACGAAACCCCCAAGCTTTACAGGTCCTCTAAAGCATCAATTTTTTCATGCAGTATAATTCTTCTCCCATCTGGGAAAGTGAACAGACATCATCTGGATTTTTTTTTTCCCTGAGTATAATAGACTTTGTTTTGTCACCACATCAGGATTCTTGACTTACAGAAATCGATGTCAGTTGTAATACGGACAGATAGGCTCAACTGAGTCACCTTGTTACAAGTAATTACAGTTTTAAGCTCAGAAACAAAGTAGCCAGAGGCTGTGCTTCAAGGAGGGAACAGCCATGGCTCCGAAGAAGGGCAGCGCAGCCCACACTGTCCCTGCATGAGGGAGCTGGGCTGGCTTCAGCCAGGGCCCACTTGACAAGTGAGTCATTGTTACACTTTCCCAGGTACAGTCACCTCAAGGTGTTATTACTCACCTTTTACTGACAGCAAGTGGTAATTAGGAATTAGTGGCAGACAGATCTGATTCATCCATGTAAACCGAACATGGGAAAGGCTGTCAGCATGCCTTGACTGTTGCCAATGTTTAGGACATCCTGGTTTGCCCCGGTCTCTGTTTATGGTTGGCCATGTACCCTGGGATTGCTGTATAACCAGCTAGCTAATGAGAGATTACTGCATGTACCAGCTGTTGAGATACTGCTGCTTGGCCTTGGTGTCATAAAAAGGCAGGTGGTACAAGATTTGTCACCCATTTTATTGCTCAGGCACAGTCCTGGCCCTGTGAGGTCCTTGGTGGCTCCATGCCCACTCCCACCCCTGCCCCGTTTACATTGGCCAGAGTTGGGAATCTCGATCACCAGCAGTGGCCAAGGTCCCAATTGCAAGAGCCTGTGGGTACAGCCTCACACAACCAGCCCATCATAAAGCAATCACACATTAATTGTGTGTAATTACCTAACCTGCTGAATGTCATTAATCCCAGTGAGCATGCCAAGCACCTGGTGTCTGTGCCATGCCTGGCTGGTTACAGCTCTCGTTTCCTGAGCAGTCAAAACCCTGCAGAAGAACTGGTGGTGCTGAGGGGTCCCAGTTGCATCTCACCAGAGATGGCTCCATGGGGCACTGGAGATGGTCCCAGAACCCTCCAGCCCAGCCCAGCCCAGCACTCCACACACCAGCACCTGCCCTCTCCTCACAGGGCCCTGGAAGAAACACAGGAATGAGCAGCACATTAAGGCATGGCAGAGTGCAAGTGAGGAGGGTGAGAGCACACGCCTGGACTTGAGCTTTGGCATTGCAGTTGTTTATTGTGGTTGTTTATTGCAGTCTGCTCTGACTCCACTTGAGATTGAACACTCGGGAGCAGAGGTTTTCCAGCACGTGGAGCCCAAGTATTGCAGCACAAGGCACTGTGAAGCAGTTGCTGTAATGAGGTGGAATTAACTGCAGGGATGGTGGTACCTGTTGCAGGAGCAGAGCAACAGGCAGAGCTGCCTCTTATACTGCAGTGATGGATCTTGGGTGCAGCCTTAGTGTTTGGCGTGGTGTGCAGTCACACATGCCCCAGTTCTACATCTGGGTTTTTACCACTACCCATTTCACATGGCGAACAAGAATAATACTGGGTTAGGTATTGCTGGAACTTCAACTTGCATCTTCACAATAAATAAATCAGTACTAGATGTCAGAAGCACCTCTGCAGATCAGGAAAGAGGTGTACAATCCACCCTTCATCTAACAAGGGAACCACCCTGAGGCAGGTGAAGCACGCTGCTTTCCCCAGGAGCTGCAGCAGTGGGGGGAAGCGCTCCCCCTCTCCCATGAATGTGACTGGCACATGGGGCTGGGACAGGACTGAGCAACTTGCAGGCACACACACAGCAACTGCTGCATCCAAGCTGTTGAAACCTGCTGTGTGCTGCACTGCTGAGCTGCCCAAGCAGCACCAGGTTTGCCCACAGGGCAGCTGCACAGGTGCAGCAGCAGCAGGGTTCTTCTGCAGGACAGCAGCTTGTGGAGCTCACTAAAGCTCTTAAACCCTCCTGAGGTTCTGCTGAAGCGGCAGCAGCCACCTCAGCCTTTGAACTTTGAAGAGTTGCTTGAGCAGATGCCAGCCGTGACAGCATTTAAACCCAAATGAACACATTTGATCTGTGCAAGAGAACAACTTGGAGCTTGCAAACCTACATGCATCCCCACACAACCTCCAAGGCAAGACTGGATGGGGCCCTGAGCAACCTGGTCTAGTGGAAAGTGTCCCTGCCCATGCCAGGGGGTTGGAACTGGATGATCTTAAGGTCACTTCTAACCCAAACCATGCTGTGGTTCTATTATTTTTCAGAGCAGCTGAGTTTACATATCTACTGCTTTCTGCTCAAATTTATCACCCTCTATGAACCTGGCCAGCACTGATAACGTGCTGCCTGTGCTACCCCTGCACCCTGAGCCCCAGCAGAAACAGGGACATGCAAACCACAGCTTAAGCATCAATCAAGATACAGCTTTTATTAACCAGATTTTCCATCTCTGTCGCACACTGTGAGTGCTTATACAACAACGAAGCTAAACACTGCTGGAAGCAATCAGATCAGGTGATACTTCTGTACCCTCTTAACACACAGATTCTTTCTTGGTGAGGATTTTTTTTCTATTTCTGTTCATTGATTCTCCTTATTTAGACTGCTAAATTCTTAAAACTGTGTCAAGATTGTCACGTCTTAAATACAGATTAAGTTGCTAGAGGTACATTATTTTTAATATATATATTTATATACACACATACAGAAAAATACAAGACTGTTTTTCCACAATATTTAATTTATACACTACTATAACTATATGCAACTTTTAAAGACACATTAAGGGGTACAAGAAACTGTTTACTTGCTCTAAATAGTTTGGTCCAATATTATCTTTACTGTAGTGCTTATTCTTGCCCTTCCTCTTACGTGACAACATAACACAACATACACCACATGCACAATCATTCACCTGTCAACAAATGGGTAAAGGACACCACTCAGACTAACATTTGTACACCCAAAGGTTCAACCAGCCACACACAACTCTAAGGTTATGTATGATACAACTATGCAGCATAAATGGTCAACACAGCTGTTCCAAAATGAGCACCATATATACAGTTGTATATAAAAACACTGGAAACAAAATACACCTGGGGTTAGTTAACAGGTGCCATTCCAAGGCTGTACATAATATCAGGAAAGTGTATTTACAATACTTGGAAAAAAGCTGCAACAAATAAGTTTATTGCCAATGCCCTTTATAAACTTATCTCCTACTCGGATGTTACACTCACTGTCTGTGAACCACACATCGCATTTCTGGCCCTTGGTAAGACCCCTACTCAAAAATGTCAAGCAAACGTGTTCTATGGCTTCACCCACACATCTATCCTTGTAGCTTTTAATTTCTAACAAGTGTCATGCTGACTAAACTGCAAGTGCAGTTCAAAACAGAAAGGAGTAAAACACTTGTCCTTGCCTTGCTTAGGAAGCAGAACATAAAATCCCCAGTGAGGGTCAGAGCACTCCACACTGTTCATGCTCCCTCAGTAAAGTCTCTTACTGATCAACAAGAACTGTTGAACCTATGACCAGGCGTGAGGCTGCTCTCTGGTGCTCCACTTGCTCTGCAGTGGATGTGAAAGGCCTCATATCTGACCACTCCGCAAGCATTAGGGGATGCTTAACACCATCAGCTCCTCTCAAGACACCCAGCATCTGCCCAGGGCACTGCTACATAACTACCACTAGGTCTCACCGGCATTGCTTAGAAGACCTAGTGCACAGCGTGAAAAAAATAAAACATTCCTGCCCTTCCCAAAACTAGAAAACTGCAATATATTTTATTCTAAATAATAAAATTCCACAAAGTTAGTTCATCTGGTCAAGTCTCCTTTTGTGCAGAAATACTCTAAGTCAAGACCATGGCATGGCAATGGGAAACCCAACAGAAAGGTTAATTGCTGCAAAATAAATACTTTCCTATATGCTATTTTAAACTGACTGTATGAAAAGCATTATTACTGAGGGAAAATAAGTAGGGCACATGTGGGGAACAGCAGTATCTTAAGTCTTAAAAAGAGTAATAATGAGAAATATGTAATTACAAGAACAACTTCAGTCTGAATCCAGTTACCCAAAAGGTTTTCCATCCCTTATTGCCTCTTGAAATAACAGGGAGAGGAGGAGAGGACAAGGGAAAAGGTCTACAAGGGTAAACCCCTAAAATACTAAGTGTCATGATATACTAATAACAAAAGTAATTCATACAAATACTTTTATTTTCAGTTAGAATGTAAAAACTCAGAAGTAGACTTAATAGTTTACCTTTGTTCTATTAAAAAAGAAGATTGTCTGCTTACAATATTAACACATTTCTATGGAAGAAAGCTGCCTTACAAATCTACTTGCTTTTTTAAAGAAAGAAAGAAAACTACCTCTAGCAAAAAAAGATCTTTTCCATTTGATTTTTGAGCCACAACTTCATCCATATCATAGCTTAAGACAAATAGGTGTGGGTTTAAAATTATCATCAAGATCACTAATTTTCAGTGCACCTTTGCTTTGTACAAGCCTTGGAACATCTGAAAGCTCCCTGAAGAGTTTTCAGCATCAAAACATTATTGCTTTGGTTCTGTTTCAGACACATGGAAGTATGCCACATATCACATATTTTAGTTATCATAGAAGGTCAGAACAAGAATTAACATTTCACAAGCAAACAAAAGCTTCTCTCTCTAATTTAAGTGCAGAACAGGAAACTTCTAAGTGCTCCATTTACATTAGGATCCAGATACTTATATTAATTTAATCCAGATCTTTCATAGTAAAATTATAAATGTAAAAAGTACACAATAAAATATTGTTTTGTTTAAAAAGAAAAACAGATCTGCTAGCAGCATGCAAAGACCATGCACTGTCATACCATCAAGCGAACACAAAATTAAAAGTGTAATAAATAACTGCTCAAAGCTCACTTAAAAATCTTTTAAGACAACAAAAGGGGGTCCGTGACAAGGTGTTCACTGCTCTGAACAGGAAGATTGATGCTGTCAAATAGATCAAGCTACTAAAATCAGGTCATCATCAAATGACATGACAACAACTGGTTTGACTGGAGGTACAGAGAAGCCCCTCCTTTGGGTTACGCTGAATATTCACAGATATCATCTTTTCACAGAGAGGTAGTTGTAGCACACTGTTTTTCAAGTTCCTATTCTTTATCCGTTCAAATTTGTTTGCTGTGACTGACATTTGGTCAGAAAAAAATTTCAGGCTGCCCAGGGACGAAGCCTGGCTTGCACTTCCGCTGGAGCTTATACACATTTTCCATGTTGATTTCTCTTGTACTTTTACACTGGAAAAGGACAGATTGTTTTGAGGATCGATAATGTATTTGGTGCTGCCGTGAATCTGTGAGCCTAGGCAAAGGCTCATAAACTTCAGGCTTTCAACCAGTTCCCCTGCACTTCTAGACGACAGCTGCAGGGAGTTTCCAGATCCAGCACATCGCCGAGTGGAACCTGAAGTGTTGGTGCCACCGCCAGAACTACCAGAGGGGCTCCCCCCACCCTTGTTGTTATCACTTGGGCTTGTTTTGTCTACTCCTCCATTTGCATTACTTGGTTTGCTTTGTCCACCTCCATCTCCCTGGCTGCCGGGTGGCCCTTCACTACTATCCCGCCTGTGCCAGGAATAAGTAAACCCACTATCTTTGTCTAGGCGTCTCCTGCTTTCCGAGTCATCATCGCTTGTTTCTGAGCTACTGCAGCTAGAGCCCCGGCCCTGGCTTTTCCTCCTGTGATAGCGTTTATGCACTGTGCTCGGTGAAGCAATATTCATTTTTAACCTGCTGAGCTTTGGTGGCAAGTTCTCATCCATGTCAAACTCATCATCTGACTCACCCTCCTCAAAGATCTGATTGAGGACTGGTGCACTCTTTCTTGAAGTAAGTCGGTTTGTGACTGAAGGCTTACGGCGCAGAACAACTTGAGTAGAAAGAGAAATAGGTTTCTTATCTTCTTCATCCTCCTCTTCATCCTCTTCTACTCTGAACAAGCACTTCCGGCCACTTGTGGTGGGTTTTAAGCTCACAGATGGGACTGCTGAAAGTGCTGGCCCAGCTAACTCGGGGATGTCCTCCTTCTTTGCTGAATCACCAAGGGTCTTGCTCCTGTGGCCGTTGAGAACACTCTCAGCCATGCGAGCTGGTGACTGAGGAACAGTGGCATGGGAGAGAGGAGAAGCTGTAAGGTCATCCTCCAGATCCTGAGGTACATCAATTTTTGTTGGCCATGATTGCCTACGTAAACAATTACAAAGGATGAAAGAGAAGTCAGATCATGGCAAATAAGAAAATGTAAGATCTGCACAAGAGAAGCACAAGTACTGCCACACAAATTGTCTGCAGAGTGGAATGTTTGTAAATAACAGCACTGAGTGACTGAGGAAAAGGAAACATTCCCAGAGAATGCGCATTCATTTAGAAATGCTGTTATTTGAAAGGAACATCATATATACAAAAGCATAGTTTAGAAATTATGTTGATTACTGTCAAATGAAACCTTAAGATTTCACTTTTCTCAGAAAATGAATTAGGCAATAAAAAAAACAACAAAAAAAACCCTTCAACAACTTGTGTCTCAAAGAAAATAATCTGACACACTTATAAAACAACCACTACCTAGAGGATGATATGAGCTGATTCAAGCACAACTTAGCAGTATTGCAGACACCTTTTAATCTGAAGCTTCTGTTATTTTCTTTCCCCAGTATCCTTACTATACAAATTTAGGTTAGAATTAACCTAAGTGAGATTGAAAAGCTGAGTCAGGAGAAACAATTATCTCATTTTCAGTAAGTCTTATTCAGACCAAGCTCTATTCTACAAAATCCCCTCTATTTTTAAACACACATGAACTGAGATCATACATTTATTTGTCCTTGGCTGAGCAGCTGGAATAATACAGCTGCATGAATCCAGGACTCACACTGCTTGCGAGTATGACATTTGAATCCACTGTAAATCCAAGCTCAAAATTTACAACCGTGTAATAGCATTAGCTCAAATCAAAACTACAGTAACACCTGAGTGTAAATCAGTTTTACAGTTAGCAACCGATATCTCCAGTATCTGAGAGTATCTAACGACTTGTATTCTACTTTAAATACTATATATTGTAATTTTCCTACAATGCACACAGAATAAATTAAGAACAAAGACTGTCAGTATTTCCTCTATTTTGAAAGCCTAATCTAAAAGACCAACACCTTAATACTGAATAATTCTTCAATTGCTTCACTCAGCATAAGTTGCACATTTCTTGTGGAGACCAAGAAACGTTTTCTAACCTCTCAAACTAAGAGTTACCACTAACAAAAAAGACTTTGCCAGTCACTTAACTTTACATAACTAAAGTTCTCCAGCATATTGCATGAAAATATGTAGTAGACACCTCTGTTCAGATATAGGTAGCATATCACAAGACATTCCCAACCATATTTTGGGTGTTCAAAAAGAAAGGGCTGCCTGACTTTGTAGCCCAGTTCAGAAGGAAGGCATAGGAAGAAAGCGGGAGAGGAAATAGAGAATGTTTCACACTAAGTGTGACCCCAGATACCTGCTTGGACAGACTGCATGCAAAGACAGAAGGATCATACCAACTTCCTGATCTCTGCCATGTTATGAGAAGAAACAAGTAAAGGTCAGACACCTCTTTGCTATTCTTATTCTAAATGTGTTGTTCTTAAGTGTTTGGAGGTAATGTAAGCCCCTGCAATATGGCTGCATTTGTTCAAGGCTCATAAAATCTGGATAGAAAAGGATGCTGAACTGTGAGACGCCTGTCTACACAGGTAACAACTGACAGCTACCTACCCAGCTGTATGAGCTGTGAAGAACACTTAAGTCCACACAAAACTCATCCAGCCTAGCTGCACACTTTGTTTTGAAGCTTCAGTTTTGCTTATCAAACCAGTGACACAAAAATCCACCAGGATCCTGACATCCATGTGAGCCTGCGTAGCCTGTTACCTGGTATGAGCCGCACTGGCTCTGTCCTGTCTAACCGGGAGCTACTGGTGGCCTCAGAGCAGCTTCCCTCCAGGAGAGGCTCTGCCTGAGAGAGGCCACCCAATCAGCAGCTCTGATCCAAGCTGTCCAAAAAAGAAGTAGAGCCCTGGCTGTGGCCCTCCTTGGTTTGAGACATTGGCATTCTCCCTTAGGCCCAGTCTTAGGATGGCTCCTGAAAACAGTGGGAACACTGACCTAGTTTTCTGATCACTTGCGTTGTGCTGGGTATTTTAAACAAACAACTGACTTAAGTCAGAAGCAGAACTATAAAAATGACAGAAAATGAAGATCTAAATCTCCCAAGAATTTACCATGCTTTAAGAAGAGAGTGGTTTGTCAACAAAAAAAGGAAAAGAGTTCTGTGGCTGTCACAATAAAGTGTAAATATAATATCTAACAGTCCTGTTGTTTCCAGGCAATAAAACTCCTCACTACAGTATGTTTATCTCTCATAGCAACCCATGTTTGCCTCCCTTCACTTCCCTCTCCCCTTATTCCCAGAAGGCCTGGGGGGAGAGTGGGACAGAAGAGAAGTTCCAGGTTATAAGTTAATTCTATTTTTTCATATCTTCTGAAGTCTCAAAATCAAAGTAACCACTATTTTGTTGTCTTTTCCATAACATATATAAACACTTTGAATTTAGAACCATCAAGAAGATAAGGAGTAACTACCTGGGACCATTAAGGGCTAGAGTTCCCAAGTTTATGCATATATTCTTATGATGAAAAGAAAATTCATACTCATAAGGCAGGTTTCAACAGCTCCAACTTTACAAATTCATACCAAGATTTAGATTCAATGAACTTGTTTGTTCTAGTCCCTTATACAACTGGAGCAGTTTTCTTCTATACAACTTTCTTCTACTGACAGAGTGACACTGATGCAGAGGAAAAAAAAAAAAAACCCACAAAATTTCAAAGCAGACTTTGTATTCACAATTTTCATTTGAAGGTAAACTCAAAAGTTTTCCTCTAAAGTAACCTGTTTTACAACTAATACTTAGTATTACATAAATTTGATGTTCTGCTTGGATTTCTTTTTTTAAAATAAATTGATGTTAAAGAGAGAACTGCAGAGAGAAAGTTACAGTATTACACTTGAAAAAAGCAAAATCTGTAAGGTGGAGCTCCACATCATTTCTGTTCTGTAGCCAACCCTTAGCTTGCCTGCAACAGTAGCTCCTCTAAAGTACTGGTAACCACTGAGCACAAGATAAAATATCCTCCATTAGGGATTATTGAGTGAGTGATCTTACAGGAGCAGCAACAAAATTTCAGTCTGCTCCAGTTCAACCTACAGGGTGCAGTTTTATCTGGAGATGACAAAGGTGTTGAGAACCACACTAAGGTTCAGAGAGAAACAACTCATTATACAGGTAGATGAAATGGTAATCCAAAAAGACTCCTCTAAAAGCCTCCAAAATCCCAGCCTAAATCCAAGGTAACAACCAACGGAGATGATGTATCTTTCACCTAGTTTCCAAATTGTGTGTCCTTAATTTATAACAAATGTCCATTTATTCTAGATTGAACTTGAGGTAGTAGTACTTCACTTTTATCAATTAGGCCAAAGAATCCATGCATACATGCCAGAAGGACACCACAGCATTTATGTCCCTATTATCATTCCTATTAAATTATCTCACATGTGGCCTTGCACGAAAGGTACACAAAGAAAGCTTTGGAAAAAACAAGCTATCCTGTCTTTTTTTCCAAATCCTACAAATAGATTAACATCTCTGAAGGTAGGCAGCAACTCTAAACATCAGCACAAGCATTTAACATTGTTTTCTCATTAACAGATAGCTACTAACAATTGTTGTTAATAACAGTTACCAATTATATTTTACCTAAAGGCAATTTTTGAAGAGGTTGGAGGTTAGAGAAGAAAAATTGATGGAAATGCCTCAGCACAGCGTCCACTTTCACTGGAAAGGTTGTCAAGATGGGCTAATACAGATTTATGTTTTCATTACCAGCAGATCCCCGGTAGAAGTCTTCCACTTCACTCAGGAAATGAAAAACCAGAATGTGTAACAAAAGTAACCGCTCAAAAGCTGCACTGTCCAATAGCAACGTGCTGATGGAAACTATATTATTTGCCTTTCGGGCTTTTTAGTGGGGTTTGTTTTTTTTTTTTTTGGTTGGTTGGTTTTGTTTTTTTCCTGTGTTGCTCTTTTTAAAGGATATGCTGCTGTAACTGAACATACAGGATGCTTTGGTAAGTGGCTGCAGAGCAAATGGACTGGTTGAACATGTCTAGCCCAACTACATGCCAAAACCCCAGTTCCCCCCTCTAGTTTTCCTGTGTCTGAAGCTTTGAAAATCTCAGTGAACACTGCTGTGAGGTTTTTCCATCATGTTTTTGTCAAATAAATAAATAATTAAGAGTATCTATTGCAATGTCTTTAAATGGTTGATAAAGCAGTTATTTCAGTAGTTTTCCTTAGACAACAGGCATTATCAACTGACATGAGAAAGAACATAACCTACAGATGTTTACTCAAAGTTTGATCTAGGGGATGTTCAGCCAATGAAAAAATCAAAGCTAACAATTAAACCATAACATCAAATTCAGAGTGATTTCTCATTTATAACTAATTACCCATCAACAAGTTTATGGATTATGCAACTGATTTTTTTCCAGGCATATTTTTTTACAGAAGTTTGTCTGAGGTCGACGAACACACCCTTTCCTAGCAGATGTGAAAACTTGCTGCTTCAGACACAGACCTCAAATTGATTAGTCATTTCATGAAAAGTGTAGGAATTGAAGATATTATTGGTAACTGATTTCTGAAGTGTCGACAGCACTTTGAAGACAGTTAAGATTTGCAATAAATAAATATTTTACTACTTGAGCAATTCAGCAATATTCTCAGAAAGGCAAGTTAAAAAAAAAAAAAAGAAACCATTTAGATTCCTAAATTCTCACCTGAACTGAGCTTTGATGTTGCTGGGGCTTGCAGATCTGGTCTGAATTTCTTTCTCTTGTTTTTCTCGCAGAATCCTTTCAGCTAGTAAGAAGTAAGTAGCAGTGATGTGATTGTATTTGTTAGTTTCCAATGCCCTGCGGAAAGTACAAAACATGAAATAAACCATACATCAATGGTTTTCTCTAAACTGGACATGCATCTCACACAACCTGTTCTCCTTTTCAGAGCAGAAAGAGTGCCTGAAAGCAGAACTGTGTATTTTTGATGTTTTGACAAGCATGTCTTGGTTTTATTAAAAATAAAGAGACAAGAAGTCTAGTAATTTCAATTTAAGTAGGATGAGGACATCCTCAGAATGTAATCCAAAAAGAAATTAAGGAATTCTTCCTTTACTGAACATTCTTTAAATGATAAAATTTTATTTCAATTGATGCTGTACCCCAGTGACGGGCTTTCCCACTAGCACTTACAACCACAAAGCACTAATATTTGTTAATGCAACAACTGGAGGAAAAACCTTCATTGTTTTAGGGCTGCCACATTAAGTTTGTGGTAAAATCAAGTTCATAAGCCAGTAAGCATCATTCAGACATTCTAACAAGAAAGGATGCCGCTGTTATGCAGCTAAAAGCTTAAGTAAGACTAATGCTTCCCCACACACACCAACAGACAGTTTTTCCATCTTAAACACAAACAAATAGAAAACACAATTTTAAGTCCTCTTTCAATTTTGGTAATATTTTAGAAATTTGTGTGGTTTAATCTATTAGGAGGAACTGTAGCTTTCTGGCAAGCTCGCTCAGTGACAATGACTTTTGCATTATGTAGATAAAAGGAACAGTATTTTTAGTTAACAGAAGATTCAGGTAACATACTAATGGAAAAATACCAGAATCTATCACTTCCAACTATGTGTGAGATATGAAGCACAAGTAGAAGCAATTCAAAAACAGTTACATTTACTCAAGGTGGCAAACTGCTGCAGGAATTAAACACTGTTCAAACACATTTTTCTAAGTATTTTTCCTAAGGTTGGGACTGCTTCAGTATATTTCATCCTGCAATATCCTATTACAGAGCAAGATTGTAATATTTTGTCTGTAAACTGAATAGCTTGATACTTAAACACTGAAGTGCCCAGGTTCTCACGACATCCTTTAAGTAAGCAAAAGCTGTACAAAACAAACTGCATATAGAAAGCTGGTAACGTAATATAGAACTGGTAACTTACTCCACTATTGTATCTCGGTCTGCTATATCCCCAAGGACCATACGTTGTATTATACTGTTGTGTTCCTCTTCAGAGAGATTTTTATATGACACAAGAGGAATATTGTACTTTGTTGCAGGAGAAGGGTCAACTCCTTGGAGCCACGCATGGTTTTCAATCTCTTCTAAAGATGCCCTTCGCTTTGGGTCTCTCTGCAACATCCGTGTAATTAGACTGTGAATAAAAAATAAATCTAAACAAAATGCACTCACATGTTTAAAAAGCAGCCACTGTAAGAACAACATTAGGAAGAAATTTTCTGCTGTTGGCTAAATAGATCTTTAGAAGTATCTACAGTAAAGAATGTGATGGGAAATTATTTATGCTCAAAGACATTCCAAATACTGCTGAACCAAAACAAATGACTGACTTATTAAAAACTATAAATGCCACAAACACAGCAGTTTTCATTTATTATGCTTAGGTTCTTAACCTGATTTTTCCAGTTTGTTTGGTTTTAATAGGTCTTATAGGGCAACTGTCACAGACAGACTACAATTTTCTATTATTGCTGCTTTCAACAGGAATATGGAATGACAAAGTAAGTAGAAATATTTTATTCTGAAGTAGCTATCAGACATTTGATTCTTCAGTTTCCCTGAGAGAACAGTGATCTGTTCTATCCAAAGATTAAAAAAAAACCACAAAACAAAACACTGTCCGAGATGATGAAGTGACAAACCTACTAATGGGTTGATACTGAGTGTTTACAAGCACTGGAAAGGAAGTGCATAAACTCCCCAAATAAACAGCGGAAGAAGACTTGATTAGCACAGCACATCTTGTTCACTTACTATATGTGAAAAATTCTTGGGGGAGGTATTTTTGGCTTTGCATGACAAATAGAATGTGAATATACAGTTTTAGTGCCAAGGTTTTAATGAAACTTTATTGCTCCAACATGTGGAATGAACATTCTGCGGTTCTCACATAATGCTTTTTATTGCACTAATATACTACACCATGCAACTTTAAACTGTAAGGCCACACAAATCAGAAAGCTAATTACAATTTTCTTTTATTATTACTTCTTTTTAGTGCAAGATGATGCATAGAATTATAAATGGAAGTTTACTCAGGATTCTTGAAACTCTACTGTAAAAAAAGAAATGTCACATACATACTTAGTAGCTGTAGTTTCTGCCTTTACCAAAAAACGAAAGGTGGGGAGAGACATGGAAGCCTTGATTTTCTTTGCTTTTGTTAGTATTGTGACAGAAAGGGAACAAATTACATACTTCATTTGACTTTTTTTAAACTGCACCTGTAGTGAAACCCCACAAATGTGCCACATATACCTCCTGCTTTAAGTTTGCTTACGCATCCCAAACCACCAAGAATGCTTTCACTCCAAGCAGAAAGTTTAAATATTCCCAGTGTCTTTTCCCTAAGAAAACCTATGGAGGACTTGAGTAATGGATCATACCTTGTTGATAAATCACACAGAAAAAGCACATCTACTTGGGCCTTTAAGATAATTAGTATTAACCACTATATTAAGCAAAAGGCTGCAAAAATACATTTCCTGGCCTCAGCAGAGCATGCAGCATCTCCAGAGGTTTATTCGACAGAATTCACTGATAAGAGCTCTTTTAAACCTCTTCCTGTATTGTATTTTAAGCCTCTTCCTGTACGTAAAGCTCTTCAAGCTGCTGAGAGCACTGACAGCAGCTTTTCCATGTTCCTGGAAATACTAGACACTAATGACAAGACACAAAAAAACAGCTATGGCATGTTATGCGTTAGATTCCTGGAGCACACAGATGACAGGTGAAGAGAGGAAAGGTCATTATGACCACAGCTATAGCAGATTTCATGTTGTGCCAAGCAGCAGAATCCTAGATGCTGCTCTAGCTTTTGACAGAATCAAATGCATTTTTCAAGCATTTCTAAAAGCACCCAGATTTTTAATTCTTACTGAAAATTAAAAGATTGCAAATTCAAGAACCCAGTCAAACACTGTAAAATAGTCTAAGTGATGCAACTGGGACACATATTAAAAGGACTGAAGAGGTTATTAACTGATAGGGAAATACTGGAATGCATCAAAAAAACAAAAAAAGGTCCATTGAACACTGCAGAAAAACAGTATCAAAATGAGTCATGATTCCCAAGTGGCATATGGTATTTTAAGACAATATTTTTCTCCCTTGATAGCCTAGAATATTGATTTGAAGTTGCAACTTCTGTAGGAGATGAGCAAAACTTGCTGTAATATTGTTGGGTTTTGACAACTTGTGTTTTGACCAGAAACCTGCAGGCATTGTTACCTTTCTAACCTCTGCCACAGAATACACTCAGCAACGCCTTGCAATTTATCCAGCAATCAGTGATAAGCAACTTCTTCAGTCATTTATAAAATGCATGACAACTAAGACACACAAAGATACATTGTGTAAAACCAAAATGAAGTGTCACACAAGTGTGGGGAAAAAACATATTGGCAAAAAATATCAGAGGATTAATCTTTAGACACAAAGAATAAGAAAAGCAATACTGGTGCCCAAGAAACTACCCAATCGACAGAAGGAGACAGGCAAGGAATATTCCACACATGGATAATATGGTATGGGCAGTTCCCAAAGGTAATGAGAATCCACGTCTATGAATACTTGCAAGTTTTTTAGTACTCTACTTACTCTTTACATTCTTTGGACACATGAGGTGGCACTGTGTATTTGCAGTCCATTATCATAGTCAGAGTTTCACTGTCATTTGCTTCTTGAAATGGTGGTTGTCCGCAAACCAGCATAAAGAGGATGACCCCCAAACTCCATATATCTGTAAATATACAGCACATACTGTAAAATAACAGTTGAGAAACAGACATAATTACCATAAAAACCATAAAATATTCTTGAGATGCATACTGAGGTGATTACTGCAGTCCTGATTATAAGCACTACTTACGGCATTTGCAATTACACTGAAGTACAAAACACAGTAGTTCCACTGTTTGACAGCTTTTACAGTTTCAGAGGGGAAAAAATATCAGAATTCATGGCTTTAAGTCATGCATAACGTGCGAGATGCATAACACCTTCAACAGCAAAGAGCTAGATAAAGCTCAAGATAAGCTGGTCACTCAGAAGAATTCATTACCCTTTTCTTCACTGGTAGGCACAGGTTATTAAAGAGATTTGTATTCAAAGCATGTTCTTTTCTGAAGGACTAACATAAATTGGTCTTAGTACAGTTTACATGTTACTCTGAAGTAAGAAATCCCAAAGAAAGCCACTTATTTCAATGAAGCTGATTTAGGTATGTTTTTCCTTCAGTGATTTTTGCTACTTCCACTGGTAAACCATTAATTTATGTAAAACCATCTTCTTACACCAATCATATTGCAAAGTGTAAAGGGGTGGTTGGTATTTTTTGGTGGTGGTGGTGGTGTTTTTGGTGTTGGGCTTGTTCTGGTTTGTTTTTTTAAAATATCCCAATGTAACAATTAACAGTGATTTCTACTACACTCTGGGAGTCTTCTTGTTCCCTTTTATTTCCTGCTTGCATAAATATAAAAACACTTAACTTTCTTGTTCCCCAGTGAAGTGACACAGAAAAAAGATGAGAAAGAAGCACTTCCAGGCATGATGCCCTTTAGTTGGTTTCTACTTACTGTAAAAGCTAACATTTAGTTCAAATCATAAAGAGTTTGCCTGAAAGAAAATATTTCACAAGTCTCCCTGCATTCAATACAAGAAGCTTAAATATTGAGAAAAGTATCATACTGAAGAAAAATAAATAACTACAATATATGCTTAGAGAAAAGGCCATGCTCTGACACTTACGCTACAACTCCATGATCTGGAAATTTCAGCTGTAATTTTGGGTCTTACATCTTAGCACTTCACCAATCCATACCCAGTAAAACCAAACCAACAGATGAAGTGAGAAAACCTGAACTGTCAGACAACTCCTGAGGAAAGAGAGGAAAGCAGCTGGCACGGGGCGAGGAAGCAGGGCACACCAGTTTGTTCTTGGGAAGAGCTTGCAGGAGGGAACCACACTAAGTTACCCACCCAACTGCATCTTACTTTATATGGCTTATTCAAAATACTTGACATGCATTTAACACTGAAGGATGGGTACAATTTTATTTAATAACATAAATAACATACATTCATCCCTAAAACAATTACTCGTTTTGCTACTTACAACCCATTCTTCATATGGTTTAGCTGACAGAGGAACAGAAAAACTATATGGTAATTTTTGTTCGAGCTCTAATTTGTAGTAAGTATATCCTATTAACTCAGACAATTATCTGATCTGTTAGGCTTACTAAGGCCTCAATTCTGTAGGTACTGAGCATTTTGAGGCCTGTACACCATATCACGCATACCTGCAAATTTAACATGACTATTCCCATGTTTAAGATTCAGTAAGTGCTTAAATACTTTGATAGCCTCATGCCAGAAAGCTAAATGTTCTGTAATATGGGATTTTAAAAAGCCTCACAAGAGGGATGATTTGATCTAAAAGACACACATCTTTAATTTTGTAAAACTACTTATACCTTTCTCCTGCTGTTCTGTTTGAAAGCCGCCAAAGGTTTTGGGGCATTATCCAAATCTGTTTGGATGTCCCACAACACAACAGATTACAAGAACTCATTTTTTGCAAGCACATAAAACATATGAACTTATGCTTTCCTATGAACAGTCATCTTTTAGATATTCATGTCCTTCCTAGGTTCTTATCTTTGCCTAAAGATCTATTTTGTGGTATGATCTATCCTAGTATTCTGTTTGATACTCTCCCCATAATAGAATTCTCCCTGTCTTATTTCAGTACAAAGTATTTGTGAAGAGTTCGCATAGTATTCATAATTACAGACAAATTATGTTTGCGATAATAAAGCAATATACATTGGTAAATTTAAGCCAAGAGAAAAATATTGGGAAGGGAAGCAATATAATTAAGTTGTAAGCTAAAAATAAGCATATAAAGTGTTTAAACAGAAGAAAAAAATCCCACAATACTCTAAGAAATCAAGCTTAAACCAGTAATACAGTATTGAGAAAAGAATAGCAATCTCAGTAAGACAGAAATTAAAGTTCCATGAAATCATCATATACAGGAAACTCTAGTAGACCTTGAAGTTTCAACTGCACTGAATAGATACTAAACATCCTTAAGTCTTTCCTTTTAGCAGGCAGCCTCTTAATCAATTTTCTGTTTTACACAAGTGGCTTCTTTTCTTGGATATACATATGCTTCTCTATTTCAGTTTGGAAGGATTTATGATGATAGATATCATTTTAGTTTTCCTAAAGTTATTTAGATAAACCTGGATGAACATTTATGTTATAAAAGGAATAAAAAACACTCTTCAGAAGCAGAACCCAACTAATGAAACAAGCTTTTTCCTCTCTTTTTTTTTAAATACACCTGCAAGAGAAATAAAATACAAACTCTAGCTAATAGTGAAGTATCAATCATGTTGGAACTGTTCATGAGGTACCATTCCTACGGTAACAGTTGGACTGGGTGATCTTAAAGGTCCTTTCCAACCTAGTTGATTCTATGATTCTATGCACTGAACTGGTACTCTATGTCCACGTGTCATGCATTTTGTAAAATGCACAAGATGTATACTAAAAAGGCATCATGTATGCAGAAAAAAGTTTTGTTAGAAACTTGAAATGGTGCTAAAGACTCTTTGACCTTGTCACATCATCTATACGTTTTCTTACACTCTCAGCAAAGAGCACTAGGGTAGCAGCAACTATACTATCTCATTCTTGCATACTACAAAGCTTACCATTACATTTTTCAGACAAATGTGTACTTTGTTAGCCTGCCAATATAGCAGACACTTATTCTGATGTGACCAACAAATAGCAATGGAGAGAAAAAATTCCATTGCTTTTACTCTCACCATATTTTTATAGCTGTGGCTGAAGATCAACTTCCTTGAATCTACAGTCATGGCTGCTAAAATGACTTAGCTCAGAGTGTCAAGGACACAGCTTAGCAGCCTAAGCAGACTTGAAAGTACAATAATAACTAGGAAACAAGAAAATATTGTGCCTAAAGAAGTTTAATCTGCATGTTAAGACTGAAGACAGAAAAATCACTGGAAGACTTAGTGCAGACCTTATTATGTCACAAGACAGATGTCGTCTCGAGGTCACCTTCACAAGCACTCCTATTATATTATAGCAAGCCTCTTCTCATGGAAGCATAGACAAGTGAATTAAGAGGCCAAATTCAAGAGTTCTGTCTTGCTCCTTCACATGCAGACTCCCTAATCAAGGGGTTGCTTCCTGGTCCATTTTCTCTGTCACAGTTTAACTAGACCCAGTCACTTGTTTGCAACTCTACATTGCAATTAAAACCAACCAACCTGATAAATGATGCAACATCTTTAAAAAGACTCTCTTTCTGGTCAATTGCAAGTTTCCACCTTGTTAAATGCACAACAGAAAATGTACATGTTGTTACAGCCACATCTAAGAAAAAAGAAAACTCACGGTGTTTGCATGTGTGTCCCCCACCCCAAAGTGGCAAAACTTACTGCATTTTCCAGCAGCCTTTTTCCTATATACAAGTGACCAGAGATCAGCCTACAGATCTTTGGTTACAGGTGTTTGCAGAAGTTTTTGATGGTCTTTGACTACAAAAGTTGCATAATGACAAAGCTCACTACATTTTGTCATCCAGCATTTCAGACAATAATCCATGAGAGTTTGCTTAAAAAGAATGATCAATACATAAGCAATCATCATAATCATGCATCACAATAATTAGGAGGGGTGTTGCCAGCAGGTCAATTGAGAAGACCCTTCTGAGGCCACATCTGAAGCTCTGTGTCCAGTTCTGGGCTCCACAGTACAATAGGGATATGGACATACTGGAGATAGACCAATGAAAGCGATGAAGGGACTGGAGCATCTCTCTAGGCGTCCCTGCTTGACCAGGGGGATTACACCAGATGACGTTCAGAGACACCCTCCCTGCAGCATGAAGCACCAAGAGTAAAAATATACTTCCTTTTGCCCATGAGAAGCAGCACATTCTAGGTGTTTGAGAAACTGAAAGCATGACAGCACAGCAAGAACTAAAACAACATTGATAGTGTGAACACACAGAACTTGAATGCTTCATTTAAAGCAGCACAGTGTTGTCTCAGCTCCACTATAACACAATTATTTTTCACTTCTCACTGTGTAAAGCGTACAGTAAGTGTATGGTAAGTGTAAAGGAAGTGGTAAAAAAATGCTGACAGGAAGCAGGAAACATTAAACAAATTTTCAAGTAACTTAATTTGAAATATATGAGCGCAGGAAGAACAATGGAAAAACGGAACTGGTATTTTAAAAGTGGATTATTCAGTGGTATTTCAAACTACCACCATTACTCAAGACAACAGCTGCGTGCAATTCTAAACAAAATAAGAACAGTAACAACAGTATCTTGCCCTTCTCACAAAATTTCATATATTCACTTTTTCCAAGAAACACACAACACGCTGGATTAAATAAAAAGCAGAATTTTTATTGGCAGATAAAAGAATGGTTTGGATTGGAAAGGACCTTAAGATCATCTAGTTCTAACCCCCTGCTATGGGCAGGGACACCTTCCACTAGACCAGGTTGCTCCAAGCCCCTGTGTCCAACCTGGCCTTGAACACTGCCATGGATGGGGCAGCCACAGCTTCTCTAGGCAACCTGTTTCAGTGCCTCACCACCCTCACAGGGAAGACCTTCTTTACATCCAACCTAAATCTCCCATTTAAACCCATCACCCCTTTTCTTATCCCTACAGCCCCTAACGAA